GAAGTAATTACATGTTGCCTGAGACTAGAGATCTCCAGCACCACAGGACCAATCTGGATGATGTTATCAGTTACTTACTAGTACACAGCACAGCTGAGATTCAAACCCAGCCTCTCTGAAACCAAACACAGCCTTCTTTTCACTGCAGTAAATGTTTATTATATTGAAATCAGTTCAGGAATCTATTGCCTTGGTCTCTAGGGAGAGTGGATTCAAACTTAAATTTTTGTTGTGTATAGCCAATGGATGACTAGTCACTATCTTGGGGTAGTGTACGGGGTCTTGGCTGCTGGGATGATTCACTGCTGGGTCAAGCAGGGCTGACTCCTCACTGGAGTTTGTGGCTACTGGCAGATTCTGCCATAAACTTGTTTCTGTACCTCTGATGGCTCTTCTAAACTTTTGACGCTCAAGTTGCCTTGTTTCTTCCCTCTCCAATATTTACTCATTGAAAGAGACAAAGGGACAAAGAAACAGCAATATAATGTGCTTGTGGTAACATGACGGCTATAGTGGGGTTACTTCCACAGTGACTGCCTCTTTATCCACTTGGAAGCTCACAGGAATTCTTGCCTTCCTCCACACAAGTGAAGAGAGCTCCATTTCAGCTGTCTGAGCCTTTTGTATGCCAATTAAGCCAATAAATGAGAGGGGAATTTACAATCTCTCAAGTCAATCCATTCTACTTTTTGGACAGCAATAACTCTAGAGGTTTAGGGGTGCTGGGACCCCAAAACCAGAATCCGTGGGTCCTGCCTGAATGAATTTGACCCAAGCTTTCTTTCAGCCAAAGACACATTGGGAGTCAATGTCATTCCTATTTGTCATGCTCCTGATAGAAGAGCAATTTACTCTTGCATATGTCTTTTCTACCCTAGTCTGTATAACCTTCTGGAACTCTGTTTTCACTGCCTGCTTAGATAAATGTCTGCTAGCTATTTGTGATTATCCTTTGTATAACAAGAATTTGTTGTGAGGGAAGTAACCTGGTGGAGAGTAAGCTAATTATTACCCTTGGTTTTGGAGTAGAATGACATCCCCAATCTGCCTCCCCCTCCCCCAATGACTAGGGAAAAGATTTTATTCTGAATTCTAAATTTGGGGAGGGAAGGAGTGATCTCCCAGGAATATGAATCCTCCTACTGTACTTTAAGGTACAAATCACAGTTTCTATTGGAGATTTGGTATGGGGCTTTCTAGATTCCAAATCTTTTAAAACATGTCCCTGTACCCCAATTTAAACCCTGTGACATGATCCAATCTATATTTCACTTACATTTTGGGGAACATATTTTTATTACCCATTGCTCCCAGTTCTGCTCTTTGGAGTCAAGTACAAGTCCAATCTCTTTTTGATTTGATAACCCTTGGAATATTTCAAAACAGCTATAACGTCCTCTTTTTGTCTTCCTTTTTGCAAGATAAACACCCCAGTTTCTATAACTAGGACTTGTGTGGATGAAAAAGGCTTTAATATCCTGCTAGCCCTCTTCTAGAGGATCTCTAATTTTTCAGGGTCCTTTGTTTTCACTTGTATCCCATTGGAGAAGAGAGAGGGGCGGGGAGGACAGGAGAGAAGAGGAGAGAGAGAGAGAGAGAGAGAGAGAGAGAGAGAGAGAGAGAGAGAGAGAGAGAGAGAGAGAGAGAGAGAGAGAGAGAGAGAGAGAGAGAGAGAGAGAGAAACACAGTGAGATTTTCATCTACCTGCCCCCCCTACTAGGTACAACCCTGGAAGTCATTGGTGGAAGGTTTGTAGGCTATGGAGGTCAGGCAAGATGGCAAGAGTCCTGAATATTTCAGAGGAAGAAAAAGATCAGCTTGGGATAACTAAATGTAGCTCAGAAATTCTGACATAATCCTATTGTTTATTTAGGATATCAGAGAACTAACAGAAAAAGGAGAACAAAGTCACTATGCCAGCAGGGGCCATCCAGGTTGTAGGTAAGATAAAAAAAACAACAAAACATTGAATATTAGAGGTAGAAAGAACATTAAAGATTTTCCATTCCAATCCTATTGTCATATGGAGAAATTAAGACTCAGAAAGCATAAGTGATTTGCTCAGTCATATAGCAAGGAAATATAAGCTCCTCGAAGGCAAGGACTATTTCTTCCCTTTTTTCCTTCCTTCCTTCCTTCCTTCCTTCCTTCCTTCCTTCCTTCCTTCCTTCCTTCTTCCTTCCTTCCTTCCTTCCTTCCTTCCTTCCTTCCTTCCTTCCCTCACTTCCCCCCTACTCCCTTCCCTTGTACATCTCAATCAGTTAAATTTTTGCTGAATTTTAAGTGGTGGAACTGGGACTTAGGTTAAAGATATCTGACTAAATCTAGTGCATGGTAATTAAGAAGGTCAAAGTTAACAAGGAAGCAATGTTACAACAAACCTATATTTAAAGAAACCACTTTAAGAGAAAATAAAAGGTTCAGGAACACAACCGAAAGGAAAGGAAAGGAAAAGAAAGGGGAGAAGAAGAAAGGAAAAAAGAAGGGAGAAGAAAGGAGCAATAATAGTATAGATTGGAAAATTGCTAGAAAGCTGTATTGCAGGGGATAAGAAGAGTGATAAAGAATGTCACGGGGCACTGAGCATGAGGATATGAAATAATCATATTGGCTGGTGAGTCATTGTTGAAGGCAAAGTCTGCCCTAACAGATGGCAGAGAATAACACACTTCTATTCCAGGCTTTTGTGTCTGTAAACTAGGGGAGGAAAAACGATCATTTTAACACTCAGGACATAGTCTCATCATGAGTCCAGAGGAATCAATTAAGCTCTTACTGCTCCAAGCAACTCTAACACTGGGCTTTTCTTAACCTGGGGTCTTTAACTTAAAAAAAAAAGTTTCAATAACTATTTCAATCTAATTGGTTTCCTTCATAATTTTATGTACTTCATTGTATGCCTTTAAAGACATAATTCTGAGAAAAGGTCCCTAGGCTTCACCAGGCTGCCAAAGATATAAAAAGGTTAAGAACTCATGATCTAAGACTAAGTTACAGGGGAGTTGCCCATCACATTGGGAGTTTCCTTCTCTAATGAAACCTTAGGTACAAGCCAACAACAGTAACAACCATAAAAAACACACCAGGCGAGCTAAAATAAATCACTTTATTGAAATAAGCTAAGAAGCCAAATCTATGGAATAGAAGATGGTTCTAAAATAATGATGTTTGTAGTGAGTATTCAACTTTGTAAATTGTTTTCATATCCATTATCTGATTTGATTTGGTGAGACAGGAAGGCCTGGCATTGTTACATATCTCGTTTTACAATACGGAAATGGAAATTCAGGAAAGTCAAGTGACTTGCTCTCTGCACTCTGCCCCCCCCCCCCCATTAGTCATTCTGCTGGGACCATTAAATGGACCTCCAGATTCCTGGAGAAAAAGTCTCTTTCCACTGTAAACTAAATTGTAATCCCTTGACAGCTGAAATCAGTCTTAACACATTTGCTAAACTGCATACAGTCTAACACAGAGCATTGAACACAAAAAGCACTTATGTCTATGCCTCTAGAAAGACATGAAAATTAATGGCAGGGACTATATTTAAGTTTTATATTTTCCCTAATGCCTAAAATAAGTTGTTAGGTATACAGTAGTTGCTTACTAAATATCTATTAAGTTGAAGGGGCAACAAGGTACAGTGGAAAGAAAGCTAGTTTCAGTGTCTGGTCCCACCTTCACTTTCTGGCTGTGTGATTCAGGGCAAGTCACCTTTCAGTGACTAGGTTACCTCTCTAAGATGACAGTTTTTAGAGAAAGTGTTCCCTGGCATTGGCAAAGGGAGTTTCCTAATCAGGCAGTTCCCCTTATCAAAGAAACCATAACCCCAGTCCCTATTCCCTAGTTCTAAAATGTTGGAGTCAGGAAGATTTCAGTTCAAACTCTGCCTTAGTCACTTACTAGCTGTATGACCCTAGGCAAATCACTTAACATGAGACAGCTTCAATTTCCTCATCTGTAAAATGAGGATAATAAGAGCACCTAGGTCCCAAAGTGGTGAGGATCAAATGAGATAATAATTGTAAAGGCTTTTCAGACCTTAGAGTGCTGTATAAATGCTAGTTCTTATTTTTATTATTTTTCTCAACTATAAAATGTGGATAATGATAGCCTTTACCTTCCAGGGTTAATGTAAGGATCAAGTGAAATATTTACAAATCACTTTGCAAGCTTGAAAGCACTGTATAAATGCTTAGTTGTTATTATTATTATTATTATGCTCAACTGTAAAATGGGGATAATAATAGCCTTTACCTTCCAGGGTTAATGTAAGGATCAAGTGAGATATTTACAAATCACTTTGCAAGCTTTAAAGCACTGTATAAATGCTAGTTATTATTATTATTATCCTCAACTGTAAAATGGGGATAATATAATAGACCCTACCTTCCAAGGTTGTTTTGAGGATCAAATGAGATATTTGTATTCTTTCTATTTTTTTTTAGTGAGGCAATTCGGGTTAAGTGACTTGCCCAGGATCACACAGCTAGTGTTATGTGTCTGAGGCCGCATTTGAACTCAGGCCCCTCCTGACTCCAGGGCCGGTGCGCTATCCACTGAGCTACCTAGATGCCCCCAAAATTAGCTATTTGTAAAGCACTTAGCACAGTGCCTGGACCACAGTAAGTGCTTAATAAATACTGATTATCATCATCATTGTTATTATTTTCCTAAACTATAAATTGGGGATAGTAACAGCTCCTACATCCCAGGGTCACTGTGAAGATCAAATGAAATTTGAATAATCATCCTCATCCTCATCTTCCTCCTCCTTCCTCAACAGCAAAATGGGAATAATAATAGTCCCTACCTTCCAGGGTTGTTGGAGGATCAAATGAGGTATCTGTAAAGCGCTTGGCAAAGTGCCTGGCCTATAGTAAGTACTTAATAAATACTATTATTATTATTATTATTATTATTGAAGCATCTGTGGGGGGCAGTTTCCGTCCAAACTACAACTCCCAGAAATCTTGGCGGCGCATGCGTGGCTTGCCCAGCCCTGGGGCAGGACTGACGTAGCTTGGTGGCCGAATCTGACCTGCTGAATCTGCCCAGTGGCCGGTAGGGAAGAGCCGGAGTAGGTGCGTCCGTCGTTCCGTCCATCTGACCAGGCTCTCACATTGAGAGTTTCGTGTCCTGCTGAGTTCCCCCGAAGGTGAGCCGGTGGAGGGGTGTGTGTGTGCGTATGTGTGTGTGAGGAGTGCGGGGTCCGGCAGCGAGGTCCTTCACCTTCAGGGACCTCTCGTCTTTACTTCAGGCTCCGCACCCCCCTCTCCCCCAACCCACGTATTCCACGACCGACCCCCGATCCCAACTCCAAGCCCACCCGCCTTTTCTGTCTACACTCTTCTCTTTAGTCCAGCAGGTGCCGGACTCACTCACTCTTGCCCTACGCCCCACCGGCCTCTCCCTTTTCCGCCCCCCTCTTCTCTAACTCTTCCACCTCTTCTCTACTCCCCCCAACTCAACGGTCCCCTCACCCCAACCGTCCCCCCCATCCTCAGAGTTCCCGGTTCTCCCGCTGCGCCCCTTCCGCTTGCCCCCCGCTGTTTCCTGCCGCAGCCCCAGACCCCCCCCACCCCGCTGCGGCCCCACCCTCCTCTGCCTTCCCCCAAACCTGCTACTGTCTGCCCTCCCCCGTCCCCCGCCCATCTCTGGATCTTCTTACCACCCCGATCTTGTGGATACTTTCCATCTCCCTCTCCAGCCCCATCTGCCCATTTCCCCAGCCCCATAAGTCTTCTCCTTAGCCACCTCTGACCCACACCGTCGATGTTAGCCTGATTTTAATTATTTTTCTTAATCACCGAAAATGTCTTTCGCAGTCAACTAAAATACGTACTCTTTTCCTCCTCCCTCCCCCACTGAGAAAGGAAGAAAGAAAAATCTCCAGCTGACACATAGGGTCCGGCCAAACAGATTTGCATTGACCGTGTCCAGAAAGATGTCTCAATCTGCGCCGAGTCCGCTTCCCCTCTCAGACCGTCACTTTGGCTGTAACCTCCTGAAATTCCCCAGCTTTTAACCACCCACCCACCCACTTTACCAGCCCTCAGTCTCGATGTTTTGGGCCCCCTGAAGCCTTTGTCTTCCCTTGAGCCCCAGCCACAACTTTCCCTTCTTTCTGTATCAGTCCCACTCCCAAAATGGGAGGGGTTTCATTTTATTTAAAGCCGGTTTCGCCGGCCCCGCTCCCGGCTTCTGTTCAGCGTAGGCTATGGGAAGGAGTGGGATCCGGGATTGGGGATTTCTGTCGGTGTCACCTGACCGGGTTTGTTGTCAGCCAGGAAAGCCGAGGGTGGAGTGAACCAGGTCACCGGGAGCGGGGCCCAGCCTCCTGTTTTGTAATCTCCCTCTGGGAGGGAGACGTCCTGGGCCACTGGAAAGTGGCCTCGCCGAGCCCAGAGGAGGAGAACGAGTTCTCAGTACCGTTTGTCTCCCCCTGCAGGTTACACTCGGGCAGCAAGTCTGAGTGACAGGAGGATGCTTCCCCTTAGAACTACCTGCCTGCCTTATGTAATCGGGAGAATAATTAGTGCCTGGAGGAATATATTGGGGCGTGATAAATTAATCAGCTGTTTATAAGGGTTACACGAGGAGGTGGGGTGGAGGAGTATTGGCTGAAATTACACTTGTTACTGGAATTGGAGAAAAGAGGAGGGTTTGGTTTGAACATTCTTTAACCAGGAAAACAGTAAAGAGAAATTTGAATCTTATAGAAAGTGACATTTTTCAACAAGGATGTAAAAAGCTTTGTCACTGTTGGCAAGAAAAAAAATTGTCTTTAACTGATGGGCTTTACATGTAACAAATGGAACACTACTTTCACAAAATAGGAAATGTTCTTTCTAGGTCAGTAGATGGTTGAGTGTTCAGAAGCAGCAGGCCACCCTAATTTTCCCTCAGATCTGAAATTGAAGGTTGCCTCAATTCTGAAAAGTCAGAACTAATTTTCTTGTCTTTTTTAGATTATTTTTTTACTTAGGCGTTTTATTAGTTATGTCATTGAATTGAATAACTAAGGTGTTGTATTTTTTCTAAGCACTATTAATATTATTGAATACTTTTTTTAACAGTTAGTATTTGTCATCTTTTATCTTTGAAAATACCTTTTAATTTTCTGACTGCTTTAGAAATTAGGTGTGATGGAAGTAATACATTTTCCTACAGGACCAGTCCAAGATTTAAAAAAAGAAGCAATAATAACTGTTCAAGCCTTTGTTACCATTTACCCAACATGTTTAAACTTTTTAGGTACCTTTTTAAATTAATATTTCACTTTACTGAGAGTCTTTGGGGGGGGAGGAATGACCTAAATTCATTTGGGGACACTGGTAAAATTGTAAAAGTGGTTCTGAAATGATTAGTTTTTGCAGTAGCCTTTTAGAAGAATGGGAAAGTGGAAGGAAGTTGTTACTTTTTCAAAGCTTTCTAGTTCTGAAATATAATTTCCTTATTTGGAAAAAAAAAGTAAAAATTTTGTTGATTTAAAAAAAAATGGAATAATAAAATCTGATCAACTTAGATTGCCCAAAACATACTGTGTTAAAATATTGATCTGAGGAATGTCAGTTTGCAAACTGTATTGTTCCACTGAACTGACTCTTAGAAGACATGGAATTTTAGAGGCAGAAGGACCCTTAAAAATGAAATAGTTCAATCTCCTCATTTGGCAGATAGTTACCTTCCTTCCTTATCACCCCCAAAATTTGTGAAAGATAATGAAAAATTTAGAAAAATCACCTTTTCATAGAGTATGCTCTTGTTTTTTGGGATCGTAGATCTAGGAGCATTTTCAGAAGCTCTTTGACCCAACCCATTTATTCCATGGATGAAAAGACCTAGTTTCAGTGAGGTCAAGGGATTGTTTACTATAAATATTTTCTTATACTTTCTGTTTTTCTGGATAAGAGAATAGAATGCATTAAGATTAGTAAGAAACATTAGTTAACGTTTTTATATTTCTCTCCCAAAGGTGGTGCTTCCCTTACCACCTTTTCTTGTACTGGTCACAGTTGCTCTTATACCCCTTACTTTTTTTTCTTTCTTTCTTTTTGGTTAGGCAGTGGGGTTAAGTGACTTGCCCAGGGTCACACAGCTAGTAAATGTTATGTGTCTGAGGCCTGATTTAAACTCAGGTCCTCCTGAATCCAGGGCGGGTGCTCTATCCACTGAGCCACCTCGCTGCCGCTATTCCCTACTTTTGATGGAGGTGAGGGAGTCCACTCCTACCCCCATTCTTTCCCAGACCCTCATTGGCTATACTCTCTTTCCTTCCCTATTTTAACTCCCTTGGGGGAAATCATCTCAACTCTCTACTGCACCCCGCCTTAGATCTCTTTGCTTCCTTGTCCTATTGCTCCAACCCTAGAGCTTGTTTGCTTCTATTTATGTATTGTTAATAGAGTTGGAAGTAATCAGGAAACTGGTGATTGGTCAGACTACAAATTTATGGTATCTAATTTCGACTTGGCCTGCATAGCAGCTAGGCAAATATTCGATTCCTCCCTAATTTATTTACTGTCCTACTTTTTATAGCTGCTGTTTCAATCCTTCCTGCTTCTCAAGCCTAACTCTCTCCCACCTTCTCTATGAAGGACCTCACCTTGTTCTTCACAGAAAAGATTGAAACCATTTGATAAAAACTTCCTGCCTGACCTTCGTCTCATGTCACTCAGATGTCTTCATCTGCTATCTTCCTCTTTCACTGTTGTCTTGATGAAGAGATAGCGTTTGCAAAGGCAAAGTCCTCTATATTCCCTCTTGGATCAGATCATCTCCCATCTTCTCCAGCAGATTACTTCTACTGTAATCCCTACTCTCCTTCAATCTTTAGAGATCTTCAGTCTCTTCCTATCTACTGCCTCCCTCTCTTCTGTTTACAAACAACTGAGTCTCTCTTCCCCTACTTCCCCTAATCTTTACAAAACACTCAGTTAGCTATAGTCCTATATCTCTCTCTTCCTCTTTAGGGCTAAAATCTTTCAGAAAGCCATCTATAGTAGTTAAGTCAAATCAACAAGCATTTATTAACTATCTTTTATGTGCCAGACATTGACATAAGTGCTGGAGGTACAAAGAAAGACAAAAAGCCTCTTCTCTGAAGGAGCTCACAGTTTTGTGGAGGAGATAACATGCTAACGACTATGTATAAATGAGCTATATTTATGTCTATATCTTATATGCACATATATGAGACATGCCTGTATATTACATATGGTGTATTGGAGATAATCTCAGAGGAAAGGCACTAACATTAAAGAGGACTAGGAAAGACTTTTTTGCAGAAAGGGGACTTCAGTTGAGCCAGTAGGTAAGTGAAAATGAAGAGTCAAGATGGAGTTTCATGTGGGAGGAACAGCAAGGAGTTCTGCAACATTTGGTTACGGTACATAGAGGAGAGTAAGATAATAGAAAGACTGGAAAGGTGAGAAGGGGTCAGGTTATGAAGGCCTTTAAAAGTCAGAAGGCGATACTAGGGGGCCCCTGGACTTTACTGAATTGGGGGGAGTAACATGGTCAGACCTTTGATTTAGGAAGATCAAGAAGAAGAGGGTGGTCAACACTGTTAAAGGGTGCAGAGTTCAAGGTGTAACTTTAGAGAGTACAAATTTAGCTGAATGCTGAAGTCAGTCATATCCAATTCTTTGTGACCCCACTTGGGGTTTTCTCCACAAAAATGCTGGAGTATGTTGCCATTTCCTTCTTCTTCAGCTCATTTTACAGGTGAGGAAACTGAAGCAAACAGTATTAAGGGACTTGCCCAGGGTCAACCAGCTAATAAATGTCAGAGGCCAGATTTGAACTCAGGAAGATGAGTCTTCTTCCTGACTCCAGGACTAGTGCTGTATCCACTGCACCACCTAGCTGTCCTAGAAGCCAGACTGCAGAGAGTTTAACAAGATAGTGAGAAAAAACAAAGTGGAGGTGATGCGGTTTAGAGGTTCAGTGGTCCTGGGACTCCAAAATCACAACACATGGGTCCTGCCGGAAAGAATTTGACCCAACCCTTCTTCTAGCCAAAGACAAAGTTTATTAGAACATCCATCATATTGGGAAGACTCTTAACAAGTCTGAACATTAGTAAGCTATTGGCTAGATTATAAGAATCCCAGCATTTCTTTTTTTTAAGGCCAGGGTCACACAGTAGTAAGT